AATTGAATGAGATTCGCTGTCCATTGGAGCACTCTGTGATTGGCCTCGTGGTGAACCTTGAACTCCATCAGCCACAAAAACACTCTCTGATTCGCCTCGTGGTGGCGCTTCAGCTCCATCTCCAGTCGCAAGCATCTCTGATTCGCCTCGTGGTGGCGCTTCAGCTTCATCTCCCGTCGCTAGCATCTCTGACTCGCCTCGTGGTGGCGCTTCAGCTTCATCTCCAGTCGCAAGCATCCCGGATTCGCCTTGTGGTGGCGCTTCAGATCCATCTCCAGTCATAACCATCTCCGATTAACGATGATTAGGTTCTATTACGCATCAAAGGGGAAGAGAGAAGAAGAACTTAGAAAATTAGGGATTTGGGTTGTCGATTTGGGGAAAATCTGATTTTGATTTTCATTTGCCTCAAACGACGTCGTTGTAGCCACAATTGATTAGTTTCGTTTAAGTGAAAAACGATGTCGTTTTGACTAACAGAAATCGATTAACGTCGGCTAAACGTCGGTTAACTGGTCTGTTAAAGGATTTGACGACGTGTTGGTTTTGGCTCGGTCAACAGCAGTTTATGATTTACAACAAAGTCAACATGACATATATGCTTTAAATGGCCAGAGAAGAAGTTGATGATTATAATGGCCACAATTTGAAAGTTGATGATTTTAAAGACATTTTTCCCAAAATAAAATACTTTTCTGCAAATATGAGTTTTTTTGGATTAGTTAATTTGAGTTTGAAGTTTGAAGCTTTCAGAGTGAAAGCAAAAGATTTTGACCATTCACCTTCTTCTCCCTGATCGTCGAACGATAAGACTGTCACATCTCTCGGATATGGCCATGGCCGGAGAATCTTCCGGCATAAACTGCCGAGATTGTGACGGTATAGTTGAGCGAAAGGTGGGTCTTATTTACGACGAGACAATGTGCAAACACGACACACCTGACGGTGAAGATCACCCAGAGTGTCCCGATCGCATCAGAGTTATCTGGGAGAAGCTTCAGCTTGCCGGAGTTTCCCAAAGGTTCATCCTTTTCCCCTCTTCTCGTGCCTGCTCTGTTGTTTGTTTGATAATAAAGCCCTAGAAAAATGCTCAAACTTAGTCAAATTGGGTAATTTCTGATTCTCTTAGCTCACAAACGGATCCTAATCTGTTATTATTGTTTGTTAATAGACCATTAACTATCTCAATTTGAAATTGTCAAATGGTTCGTATGCTGCTGAATTTTATTCTATATATTAGGTGTTTCATAGCTCAATAATGTTGGTTATTTTCCGTCTCGGGTTCCCATGTCCTATGGGCAGAATGTTTATAATCCTTTCTTGAATCGATGTTTTTCATTTCCGTTTAATTTTCACTCACAAGACTGTTCATTAGAGTAAATCTGGCACCCCATTAGTTAAGAAGTTGGAATTTAGGCTTTCGGGTGTGTATCCAATCCCAACTATCATCACAATTTTTGGTCTTTCCTTTTGCAGATGTGTGGTTCTTGGCAGTAGCAAAGCA